AAATAAAACATTAATAAACCTTTGAAACAAGTAAATTGTGAGCAAATGATGACAGAATTTCCTTTTGAGTTGAAGTAAACAGTACCTTAACTGCAGTATTAGACTTGTTTTGTGTTATAATTTTAATCCTGTAAAATGTTTTATCTATAGGCTATATCTGTAATATCCATTAAGTCAAATTTTAAAAACCCTTTTGTTGACCACTGAGTCCCAACACACTTTCTGTCCATCAGCAAGCTTGATCCCAGTGTTGAAGATATTGCCTAATTAAATTTATCTTGCATCTCCTGAATAGCTTCTTCAGCAGTGTTAGATTTGAGTTGGAATCCAGCTCTCTATTTTGGTCTTATTTCAAAATAATCAAAATAGGTCAATGAGTATTTGTGGCTCATGAATCTGTAATGGGCATCATCATGGCTATGATGTGAAGTTTTGAGGCCTGTTGCACAAAGTTTGAGTTTTTACACAGGTAAGTTTGAATTTTTTGAGGTACAGTAGACTGTTTTTGATCGGGTTTCTACGCCACACAATTTATGATAAGGCTAACCTGTTTTCAAAACGTTTATAAACATAATAGTTTTCACAACTCATTTCTAATAACTTGTTTTTTTTTTTTTTTTTTGCCATGGGGAGAGTGTATAATACATTTATCAAATATTTATGTATGTACAAATGAAGTCAGAATTATTAGCCTCCAATTGAATATTTTCTCTCTTTTAAATATTTACTAAATTATGTTTAACAGAGCAAGGACATTTTTGCAGCATTTCCAATAATATTTTTTCTCAAAGTCTTATTTGATTTATTTTGTCTAGAATAAAAGCAGTTTCATTTTTTAAGTCATTTTAAGGTCAAAAATTATTAGCACCTTTAAGCTATTTTTTTTGATATTCTACAGAACAAACCACTTTTGTACAATAACTTGCCTAATTACCCTAACCTGCCTAGTTAACCTAATTAACCTAGTTAAGCCTTTAAATGTCACTTTAAGCTGTCTTGAAAAACATCTAGTCAAATATTATTTACTGTCATCATGGCAAAGATAAAATAAATCAGTTATTAGAAATGAGTTATTAAAACTATTATGTTTAGAAATGTGTTGAAAAAAATCTATAGGGGAAAAATTAACAGAGGGGGCTAATAATTTTGACATCAACTGTATATTGCACATAATATACATCATATACTTATTTGATACTATTGATACTAGTATTCAGCTTAAAGTGCAACTTTCAAGAAATAAATTGATTATTATGTCGACCAGGCAAGTTATAATAATTTGTAAAGTGGTTTGAATAGGTCAGAGGAGAATGGCCAGACTGATACAAGCTGAAAGAATCTCGAATAACAACTCATTACAACCCGAGGTATGCAGAAGAGCATCTCTGAAAGCACAAGGCAATGAACCTTGAGGTGGATGGGCTACAGCAGCAGATGACCACAACAAGTGCCATTCTTGTCAGATAAGAACAGGAAACTGAGGCAACAATTCACACAGGCTCACCAAAATTGGACAATAGAAGATTGGAAAAACGTTGCCGGGTCTGATGAGTCTCGACTCCTGCTGCAACATTCAGAGGGGGTCAGAATTTGGCATCTACAACATGAAAGCATGAGTATATTCTGCCTTGTATCAACGGGTCAGGCTGGTGGTGGTGTAATGGTTTGGGGGATATTTTCTTGACACACTTTGGGCCATTAGTACCACTTGAGCATCATGTCAATGTCACAGCCTCTCTGAGTATTGTTGCTGACCATAACCATTTCTTTATGACCAAAGTGTACTCATCCTCTGATGGCTACTTCCAGCAGGATAACGAGCCATGTCATAAAGCGAATGATCTCTGGTTTCTGGACTGGTTTCTTGAACATGACGATGAGTTCACTGTACTCAAATGGCCTTCCCAGTCACCAGATCTCAATCTAATGGAACACCTATTGGATGGGATGGTTTGGAATGAGAGACTGACAAATATTGATGCGCAGCCGTCAAATCTGCTGCAACTGCGTGATGCTATCATGTCGATATGGACCAAAATCTCTGAGGAATATTTCCAGTAATGTTGAATCAATGCCATGAAGCATTTCTGAAGGCAAAAGGGGGTCCAACCTGGTTCTAGTAAGGTGCATCTAATAAAGTGACTGGTGAGTGTATATTCACATCTATTATGGTATTCACACAGACATGCACATAAGTTGATTTTAGAATTGTGTTGCAATAATTAGTGTACACATAAACAGATTCACAATCACATTCATTTAGGTGCATGTACAGTAAAAACCACATCATGTAATTTTGAACTGTAGAATGAAACATTTCAGTGGGGATATTCCCACATCCAGCCTCATCTTGAATGTAGCATTATTGTTTAGCAGGACACTGGAGGGCTGGAACTGAAGAGTCCTTTATAGGGATTTTCCAGTGTTAAAGACAATCTGAGATCTATTATTTGTCTTTAATATCAATATTGCTGCCTTAAAACCTTTAAAATCAACAATCATATGTCTGGAAATTATGACAATAATATGAAACTGAACACTTTATTTTTTATGTTTAAATTAAATTTGCTGAAAAAATATATTTTGCTGAAAAACTCTACATTTGTATAGTGTGAATTTTTTTACTTTTTAAATTATACTTCCCAAGTGTTGTTTAACAGAGGGGCAGCACAGTGGCATAATTACCTCACAGCAAGGAAGTCGCTGGTTTAAGCCACAGGTGGGTCTGTTGGCATTTCTTTGTGACGTTTGCATGTTCTCCCTGTGTGTGCATGGGTTTCCTCCAGGTGCTCCAGTTTACCCCAGAGTCCAAAAACATGTGCTATAGGTGAATCGGGTAGCTAAATTGGCCTTAGTGAATGTGTTTCCTGGTGTTCAGTTGCAGCTGGAAATGCATCTGCTGCGTAAAACATATGCTGGATAAGTTGGCGGTTCATTCCGCTATGGCGACCCCTGATTAATAAAGAGACTAAGCCGAAAAAAAAATGAATGAATGTCGCCTCACAGCAAAAAGGTTGCTGGTTTGAGTCCCTAGATACGTTTCTGGATACACTTCTGTGTTCACCTTTTTCAAACATAATATTTTATAATAATTTTAAGTCTTTGCTTTTATGAAGGTACATAATAATAGTCATTTTGCAAGATACCAGTATGCAGCTGAAAGTGCCATTTAAAGACCTAACAAGTTTAAGTTAGGTTACTAGGTAAGTCATTGGACAAGAGTGGTTTGTTTTGTAGCCAATAGAGGGGGAAAAGAGGTCCCACTTTATATTAAGTGGCCTTAACTAATAAGTACTTACACAGGAATTAATAGTTTGTTACAATGCACTTATTGTGTAAATACATGTATTTACTGTGTACTTATGCTTGATTAAATACATGTATGTAATTACATCTGTAATTACCTTCTGTAACTACATTTGTAAATACACTGTTGACCATCCCTTACACCTTAACCCACCCTTAAACCTACCCATACCACCAAACCTGTTCATAACCCAACCTCTATCCCAACTCAAAAGCACCACAAGTGTTCTCAAATACATCATAAACACAGTAAGTACATTGTATTTATTTTTTTGATGCAAGTACATACTAGTTAAAGACACTTAATATAAAGTGGGACAGAAAAAGAAATGGTTAAAGGGGTAATAATGTTGATCTAGCAGTTTTAACATTTTTAAATGAAAATTATGTATTTTTATTCATTCATTCATTTCTTTTTGGCTTAATCCCTTTATTAATCAGGGGTTGCCACGCCTTATGTTTTACGCAGCGGATGCCCTTACAGCTGCAACCCATCACTGGGAAACACCTATATAATCTCATTCACACATATACACTATGGAAAATGTAGCTTACCCAATTCACCTATGTCTTTGGACTTTGAGGGTAACTGGAGAACCAAGAGGAAACCCACACAAACACGGGGAGAACATGCAAACTTTACACAGAAATTCCAACTGACCCAGCCAAGACTCGAACCAGTGACTTTCTAGCTGTGAAGCAACAAAGATAATCACTGTGCCACTGCACCACCCCTAATGTATTTTCATTCCAGCCAAACTAAAATAATGCAAAAAAAAAAAAGCAAAAAGTAAGTCCACTGCACTGTTAAACATGAATATTTGAAAATATATCCATCATATGAAAACTTCACAGGAGGGCTAATAATTTTGTCTGTATATATTTTATAAACTATATTCTATGTGTTCACTGACATTTTGCCATGATTTACTGTTGGCAGAGGACTTTTAATGACTAATTAACTGTATATTAAACGGTTCATTACATTATGTAGTTTTACATTTCCAGCACTGCTATTTACGTCAGCATTACTTGAAATATAAAGCATGAAAAATCAGTGGTGATACCGATTGGATTGTTCAGCAGCAACTATGTATCTATTGGGCTATATGCACACGGAGTTTTAATTTCAACCAGCCAGCTCCAGAGCTTCCGGTGAATTGTCATCCCATACAAAAATCACAGCATTCAAGATCTGTTTTCTTTAAAAAAATAGAGATCATTACTGCCTGTCCTTAATAGGATATAAAGTGGGTATCAGACCAAACAAGAAGCACTGCATAAAATTATATTTTTCCCCGTCATGTCTTTAAAAGATGAAAATTAATTTTACCCCAGTATTTTTAATGGAATTTCTGCGCTAACCTGCAGCTAATGGCGGTGTCTGCGTTTAAACTGTCCTTTGTCTCTTTTTGCGCTTTAACAACCAAATGGATGCTTAAGTTTTTTTTTAACTGAATGTGTTCTAATTACATTACAACATCAATGCTGTAAAAGGAATTTTATGAAATTGAAAGTCACATAAAGCTCTCAGCGGAAGTTCATCTTGGCTGAAAAACACTAGCTGTGCATATAGCCCACTGCAGCATTTGAATTAAAAAAGGAATTGCAACAGTATTCTTGTTTTTCTAGCTTTTGTTTCCTTTACGTTTTAAAAGCAAACAAAACAAACAAAAAAAAACAACAACAATGACTACTTTAAAGAATAAACTTGTTGTTTATGGATTTATTTTACACAGTTTGCTGGACGAAAAGTCAAAGTTAAGGATAAAATGACAGAGGGAAAAATCTGACATTAATTACAATACAATACCACATCACTCCATTATACAAACAAATCACTTTTGCTCTTACTTAAAACGCAGTCCTCCTGGTGCACGTCTGAAATCACTTCAGTCAAAGCAACAGACGCGTTTTAGTGTCGAGTTTACCTCTATAGTTATAAGTGCAACAAATCTCTAAACCCATCAAATATTACAAAGCAAACCCTTCTTCACTTTAACACAGCAATCAGAATATCAAACAATAATTTCTTCTCTTTAGAATACCATATAAAATCACATTTGTAGCCCTGTGTATTATTCACAAAATAAATCATTCTCTCAATTTTACCTCGAGGTCCCTCAGGATTATTCCATACATCTCAGATATGATTGTCGAATTCAATAGGTCCTGCTTTAGGATCAACAACAAAGGCACTAAATTGAGATTAACCTCATAATCCATTAAGGCATTAGTTCACCAAAAATAAAAAGTTCTGCCTTTAATTACTCACACTCATGTTATTCCCAAACCCATGAGATCTTTGTTCATCTTTGGAACACAAATTAAGATATTTTAGATGAAATCCTGGATCTCTCTCACCCTTCCATAAACAGCAATGGTCCAGAGAAGTTCAAATTCCAGAAAAGAAAAAATGCTGACAAGGTGTACTCAGAGCTGGGCAAAATTATTTTGGATTAATTGTTTAGGGTGCTTGTTTTTGTACTGTTGGAGGAAACCGGAGGACCTGGGGAAAACCCACACGAGCATGGGGAGAATGAGCTAAACTCCGCACAGAAATGTCATCTGGTTTGGAAGGGAATTAAACCAGGGGCATTCTTGCTGTGTGGCAACAGCGCTAATCACTGGCCACTATGTTGCTTGTTTGAAAGGAGGGAAATTAGGGTTGGGCGGGTGGCTGGGTGGGGCTGGTCTTTAAGAGAAAGATATTGAGATGAGAAAAGTCTGGTTATTTATAGTGAATTACGGATCCTCAGATAGGATAATTAGCCAAGAGCTAAAGTTGGAACAGCTGTGAACAATCATAAACATGTGATCCTCTCGAAATTTGTTAATGAATAAACTTTACGTATAACTCCTATAAGCTTGAAGGACTGCATCCATACATCTCTGCTTCTCTTGACTAAAATAACTTATTAATAACATCTGGAATGCTAAAGAAAGTGTTCTTGCAAGACTCCCAGAGTTCATCTAGATCCTTCGGGCTCATCTTCAATACCTCCTCCATCTTGCCTCAGACATGCTCAATGATGTTCATGTCTGGTGAGTGGGCCGGCCAATATTGGAGCACCTTGACCCTCTTTGCTTTCAGGAACTTTGATGTGGAGGCTGAAGTATGGGAAGGAGCGCTATCCTGCTGAAGAATTTGCCGTCTTTTGTGGTATATAATGTAATGGGCAGCACAAATGTTGCAGGGGTGTTGGATGGTGAAACGTCACTTCCGTCACCGACGAAGAAAGAAAGTGAAGAGCGGGGAGGTTGTCGCAGATATAAATGAAATTGAACAGCGGGACGGGGAGGAGGGCGGTTGAGGAGAGGGATTGGTAAAATCAGATGCCGGACCAGATTTCAGAGGTTCTGGATACGGCGTGTTCCAGCTCAAATTAAGCCTTGGGCAATGTAAGTATGCCCCTGACCTGGCGTGGAAGAGAAAACACTGGTGAACTTTTTTTTTTTTTTTCACGCAAAGTGTTTTTGGAGCTTCATATGATTACAGTTACACTACTAAAGTCACATGGAATGTTTTGCCATTGTTTTTGGTTCATTTTCTGGACCTATATAGGATGAAAGAGCTCTCAGATTTCATCTAAGGTATTTTAATGTGTTCAGAAGATAACCAAGTTCTCAGGCGATTGAAACGATATTAGGCAAGTAATTAATAACAGAATTTTCTCTTTTGATTAAACTAACCCATTAATCATCAATTACATTTGGCTTCAGATGATCTGCGATTAAAATATGAGGAGAGAGAAATACGACAAGAACTTAATGCTACCGAAAAAAAGCTACATACAGTTCAGCCGAGATACCACAGCTACAAAGTTCTGCATTGAATCTTTTGATAGAAGCTGTTGTAGTCTCTTCACGGTCTGTAGGTTTTTATGACGTCCTTGATTGGTCTCCGACAGATCGGACAGCACGCATTGATCTGCCTCTTCAGCCTCTGTCCACAGTCATTACACAAACACATATGTCCACAGGTGTAGATGACCGTGTCCACCTCCTGATCGAAGCACACGGTGCACTCACTGCTTTTGTTGCTTAGAGGAGCATCTGATGAGGAAAAAGATGGGGACACTGGAGGACTGAGCGGAGAGCTGGGAGCTGTCACTGGAAAACAATATTTAAAAAAAAATGTTGAATAATATAATAAAATGCATACAGCACAAAGCAGAAAAGTCATTCATTGAATTTACAATTGTTTTACAAATATTTGAGGTAACTATTAAGGTAACCATTTTTATGAGTTACAGTACTCAACAAATATAAGTACACCCCTCACAAGTCTATTTTTCAATTTCATATTTTTAATAGGAAGCTATACAATATTATATTTGTGCATACACATAGATTAGTCAGTACTGAAGCCAAATCTGGAGCTTCTCTTACAAAATAACTTACAATAATGGTCCAAAAACTAGTACACCCAAATGTATAAGTTAAGGGAAAATATTACATACAAATAAAAAAATAAAAAAAAGCAAAGAGAAGCAAAAATGTAAAAATAAAATGTTGAAATTGTGTAGGTTATAATAATTATTTTTACATTTTACATATTTTTTTTTACATTATTTTGCTTGAATTTAATTGTATTATCTTTCAATTTCTAAAAATGCTTGGTGACTAAAATATAATTTTAATAAATATATCTGTTTAATAAATCTGTTGTTGTTTAAAGGCACCAAAATACATTGACTAAATTTACTGTGAAATGTATAAATATATTCATATTCAAAATGGTGTGTACTCAATTATGCTGAGCACTGTAAATTTAAACAAAGTTACTTTGCTAAGTAACATTTGTTTGTTTAAATCCAGCCCATATAAGTTGTTTGCAACCAGTCACCTTCAAGAAAATAGTAAATCCAATGAAAACCTTTTTCAGTTGTACAAGATGTAACAATTAATTTAAAGAATGCTTTAATTGCAACAAATGAATATACACACACAAAATTTATTTCTTCTGAAGTTCTTTGAGGTAGTTTCTTGAGTAATGAGTAGGTTTAGCAGTTCTTTGAACTGTAATCATAGGGAAACCAATTTTATCAGTACAGGTGCTACATACAGGGTTTTTGCAAGTCAAATTTAAGATTTTTTAGTATTAAATTTCAGACTTATAAAAGGCTAAACGCTAAGGATTTTAAAAAATAATAATAATTGGCCTAGCAGAAAAAATAAATAAATCAAATTAGTTATTTCTTAACCACATATTTGAAATAATGTCTAATAATGTCAAAACAAGCAGACCTTAGTTGTACACAGTTTTCAACATAACTTAAAAAACAAACTCTTTAAAAGCTAAAAGTATGCACAACAGACTGTTATAATATGACTAAGGAATAGTTTAAGATGTGTTGTTGAATGTATGTTGAATCAACTGGTAGCTTCACATTTTAAGGCCTAAAATTTTGTTTATAAAATTTAAGACATTTCAAGATTTTTAAGACCCCACAGACACCCTGTACATATTAGGGGTGATGAAATGACAGTGATTAATATGAATTTTTAATAAATCGTTCAACGAATTTTTATTTTATTTTACTGTTTATGTTTTGCACCAAATTGAGTCTTCATCTCTTTGCACAAATAGCATTCAACTCAATGTGATGTGAAAAAATGTTTTAAGATTTAAAAAAACAATACAAATAACAAATACTATTGATTTAAATACATTTAAACATAAATTAATTACAAAAACACTAGATTTAGACTTGTTGCAAAATTGAATTAATTAATATAAATTATTAAACAGTAAACAATTTTCTACTAATCTACTAAAATACAAGTTTTTTCAAGTAATTTCAGGTATTTTCATAACAATTATATAGATTTATTAAGCATGTTAATCAACAACCTAGTTAATACTAGTAAATGATAATAAAAATGTAAGAAAAAGAAAGTCTAAAAGGTTTTAAGCTGTGTTCGAAATCTCATTATACTTTTGTACAAAGACTATAAAATACACAAGATGTGTCACTTGTATAGCTTTGAATGGGGAAAAGTGTAACATTCATTGATCTCTATAGACTGCCGATTCTCCGTGGTAGAAGCTCAGACCAGACATGTGCTTTTATGACAGTTTTTGTGGTCAACAAACACACTGGAGTCTCAGCAAATACTTGCTTCACAGACATAAGAAATATATCCACATCAAGCTTGACATCGGTACTTTTAATGAACCATGTGCACTTGAAACTAAAGTTTTCTGGTTTTGTAATCTGTATGAAAAGAATCTGACGAACAGTCTGTCCTGTCAAACCCACATCGTATGTCAGTATCTACTCAAATGCCCTTAAACTTATAAACAAATAGTCACTTTGATTTCTGGAGAAGATTCTCTATCAAGAGGATGCTAATTTGTAGAACACCCATAAATAAGGTTAGTGTCGTGATCTCGTTCCTTTCGAGTGCACATGCACATTAACTCGGGCACCCTGAAAAAATGCTGGATTTGTTTGATTCGAAAGTTTAAAAACTTATGATACAGTTGTAGTTTAATTTTATTTTTGATCCCAAATATGTAATGTAATCTTAAGCTTGGCAAACAGTTTTGGAGTATTTGATGTTTCCCCATTCAGACAGAATGCCCGAGCATACTGCATAAGAGGTGTTTCAAAGATGGCCGCTGTGTCGACTTGCCTTAAAGGGATTTTGGTACAGTAGGTAAAAAATTTAAATGTAAACTTACTTCACGACCACTGAGAAAAGTATGTTCAATGTAGTATGAATATATTTGAATATTTGAGCGACGTGGAAGACTCTAAACATGGATGGCTCTATAGCCCTCGCATAATCTTATCCATTTTAAAGCTGCACACAAAATGTTTTGTACCCCATACAAATGATATCTTATGAAACTTTTACCAAATCCGAACTGCAGTCAGTGTAACAATAACTAAACAATAACAATATCTAAATTCTGGAAACATGTAGTTAAGTACTTAAAAATATCACAAAATTGCACCTTGATCTTGATCCCTATCTTGATCTTGATGTCGTTAAATGATGATTCTCTTTATAACTTTACAAAAGTTGAGAAAAGACTGTTCATGTTTGGCTTCACTGGTGCTAAAAAAGCAATGGTTTACCCCTGACATGGATCTTAAAAGATTCTGGCTGTTCTTTTAACATAATATTGTTTGACAAAGATTAATGGAGCTAAAATACATCTCGTGACTTATTGAAGTAAAATAGCCCAAGCTTTAAGACATCTTTCTAAATGAAAGATGCACTACTGTATTACTTGCTGCTGTTGGTTTACTGTATGTTGTATTTCTTTTAAATGTGTATATTTACTGTTTTTATTTGTCTTTGAATATCTGTACTTTCATCCATGCTTTGTTATACTACCATTTTTAATAATAAAAAAAAGACAATCACAAAAAAAATGGATGGCTCTATAATGCTCTTCTTGTTCTATCTTCCTTCTTCAAATGATGAAAAGCCACTAGGCTTTAAGCTTGTGATACTTATCACCTGACAGTAACTCGAGTTTGAACTGAAATGACTCCCCCATCACTAAAAATATCTGATCTCATACTGATTGAAGCCTTTTTGTTCTATTCTAAACACCAGAAAACAAGAATTCATTGTTCAATGTTTTTAATATACTTAATTCATATTGCTTGAAAGACTAATCTATATTATTTTATTATTTTTATTTTGAAGACGTGTTTTGAAGACCTCTTGGCCAAGTCACCCTTGTACATGAGATCTTGATATCAATACTTTTTTTACCTGGTTAAAGAAATAATAATAATAAAAAGGAATTGGGACGTACAACATCTGACATTTATCATTAGCACATGATCTACCTGCATTAGTTGCATTGCTACACTCCAATTAATTATCTTGTGTAACTTCATGGGATAGTAAAGGGTACATTGGATGTGATCTAAAGAATCTTATCTAGTGTGTTTCTTTTCTACTATTTAAAAAAACTTTAAATTCGGACAGACTACATGGCTCACTTACTTTGTATATATAGTAGCATTGTATGATGTTTAATGTGAAACATCGCGATGGACGATTGCATCGTCGTCTTGCACTGCGGTGAATTAATTATTTATAAAATTTTTATTAATTCATAATGAATTAATTATTTGTAGCCTACCGTTTCAACTACCTGACCTGCATGTCTTTCTTTAACCATAAATAAATCATAAATAAATAAAGAAGTTACCACCTGTCAATCGCTTTTTCTGCTGGACTCTGGCATGAATAGACAGAGTAATCTGTGTTGTTATAATGGCGTCGACAAACTTGGCAAAAAGGTGTACAACCAACAGGAATCAACCAACAGTATCTGAGATTTTTGCTAAAATTACTAAGTACATGTGTGAAAGCGTAAGATTGACTCTGGGGTTTGGTGCTCAAAGCATGACCACATGAGAGAGAGAGTGTGTGTGTGTGTGTGTGTGTGTGTGTGTGTGTGTGTGTGGTGTGCATTTTCAGCGGTATAATGAGCATGGAGATCTGTTCAGAAATGGTATATCAAATGCCAGTGTGGATGGGCACCATTTTTGTTCTAAAATGCTATTTTAAAACTGAGAGGAAACCCTTGTAGGAAAGCGTACTATTTCTGATGCACCATTAGTGTTCTCAGTTAAATACATTTGTTAATTTTGTATGTAATAGTGCACTTCATTAGTCAAAAAGTGAAGATAGATTTGGCGTTAAGTTATTATTATTTCATCTGATACTGTGAGAACCGTAGTTGATGATAAGATTTGTAATGCATTCCATGGTGGGTTTAATCAGCCGTTTCATTAGCATTCTGCCTCGACCAGCGGTTCAAAGCTGGAAGTGAGTTGATGAATGCGCTTGTTGAGACTCACCGAGAGAGGACTCAGATGCTGATGATGATCTGTTGACACTGAAAGCCAGATCAGAGTCACTGTCATCAGGCGATGATCCTTGAGACACTGATGGAGAGGTGGGTGGGCTGGCCTGGACCGTTCCTTATGCAAAAAAGAGAATAATTGAATACGTCTGCCTTCCTTGCAACAATCACTGATGAACTACTGATATCATCTTTGTCTGACAATGACAAAATGAGTCCAACAAAATATTAAAGTGCTCCTATTGCAACTGTTCATATAATACCTTTCCTGTGGTGTGAAACAGAGCTGCTTGTATATGTAAATCGAGGCTTATGCAGGTTTTACCAAATTAAATTTAAGACTTTTGAAGACATTTTTAAGACCATTATAAACAACATTTTAGACTCATACAGGGCTAAATGAGTTTTTTAGGAGTTTTTCTAATGGCCCAAATGTTTTTTTTTTTTTTTTAATTGACCTCATAAAAAATATATCATTTAATACATTTAATAGTACAATAATACTTACTATTTATTAATAAAAATGTTAGAAAAATGTGTGTTGTTTCATAGCAACATATTTTAAATAATGTCTCAAAACAAGCAAGCTCTAGTTTTTATACATACACTTGTTTTTACCATGACCACTCTTTAAAATAAAACATTATTTAAAAAAGATTAAAACAATAATGAAATAAATGTATGCACATATATTTGTCCAAGTCTGTGTCCTCAGCAGTAAATACATGCAAATTTAAGGCCTAAAATTTAGTTTTTGAAATTTAAGACATTTTAAAACATTTTAACACCTTGCGGACACCCTGTAAAATCTCCCAGGAAAAAGTATTAGTAATGGATATATTTTAATGGATGTTTTGTTTTAAACATGGGCTGCAAACAGTACCAATCACAACAGACTGGGTGATCGAACCAATTAGAGCGCAAAAAGTAGGGGTTTTTAGAGACTGAATCCTTCAATTAGTTTAAGTGACAATTCTCTCTATTAACTAGGCACTTATTGGCTAATTATTTGTACTTATAAAGCACATATTCTGCATGACCTTATTTGACATCCTTGGGCTGAATGATCTGGCCTAAAATCAAAATCTTGATTATTGAATATTTTAACTCGATTACGATTAATTAACGATCATCTTATTTATTTAACTTTTTTTGCCCTCAGGAGTTCACTGACAAGTTTTGCACAGTAAATATGATCACGTATTACCAGTGAGAGATTTTTTTAATGAAGGGTGCATTACTTGATTTTTAAAAATTGAAGGAAACACACACCATCTACGGTCTATGAATATTTATTGAACATCAACATTGAACAACTGAAATTCATCCGCGCCGTCCACACTTGTCACCACTATCAAACCAATCATAAAGACTGCATAACTTATAATTTATAAAATTTTTCCACATCGATTTTTCAAATATTTTCCCTACTGTACGAGTCACGCGACCCCACTCTGTTCTGCGTTGAGCGAATGCATATTGTCCGGCACAGGCAAAAAAAAAAATGCAACTACACATTGCGACGTTGAGTAGCGCGAATGTCAATTTCAATTAGAAAAGTGCAATTAATTGAATATTCGGTTTCGATTTAGGCTTCTAACGATTATGAAAAAACATTAATAGAGATAAAAATGATTATTGCATCATATATAGCCATCTTTCCATTTGTACACATTTTTTGCTCTGCAAATCTCAGTATCACGTGAAAATTGCTAAAAGCATGTATTGTTATGTAACTTTTGCAGCATAGTAATCACATCATTCATTGATGTACATTAGAATCATTCATGCTTTTAAAAGCGTGAAAGAGCGCATGCTGTAGTGTGTGTGCGTGCTCAGCCTCAGAGAGCACACACATCTAAAGTCATCTTAATGCGAGTACTTTAATAGTCAAATAAAGCAAATTTGTGTTAAAAAAAGCGTGGTGTTTAGTGATTATTCATATGAACCCTTATTTCATGTATACACAAATGAGTTGACAATGAAAAGACATGTGAAAGTGAAACCATCAATCAGAACCGTACTGCTCTTAAAGTGACAGCGCATAATATTCCTGCTGCCGACTGTCGTTAACATCATTAATAAACAACAAAAGAACAAAATCCCTCACGGCTCTTGACTGAAGGACGTTTGTAGCTATAATTAGATTTTATATTTTTTTTATAATTTAGATTTAAAGATTTTTTCTTACAGTGAAGATGCTTAAAGCACAGTTTGTTTCATATATTTGTACTATTGTATTTATTTCCCTTTCCTTATTTACAGGGAGGAAAATAACTGTATAAATAAAGTTGAGGTCAAAATTATTAGCACTCCTAAATTATTAGCGTCTCTTTTCCCCCAATTTCTGTATAATGAAAAGAAGATTTTTTTCAACCAATATATAACCATAATAGGTTTAATAACTCAATTCTAATAACTGATTTCTTTTATCTTTGCTATGATGACAGTACATAATATTTTACTAGATATTTTTCAAGATACAAGCATTCAGATTCAAAGTGCGACTCAAAGGCTTAATTGGAGTAATTAGGCAAGTCATTGTATAACAGTAGTTTCTTCTGCAGACAATCAAAAATATATATATTGCTTAAGGGGACTAATAATATTGACCTTAAAATAGATTTCAAAATATTAAACCCTTTTTTAATCTAGCCAAAATAAAACAAATAAGCCTTTCTCCAAAAGATAAAATATTATAGGAAATACTGTAAAAAATTCCTTGCTGTGTCCAAAACAATATTTGGGAAATATTTATAAAAATAAAAAATTCACAGGGCTAATATTTTTGGCTTCAACTGATAATCGTTTTGAATAATCATGATTACAATTATGACCAAAATAAACGTGATTATGACTGTTCCCATAATCAAGCAGCCCTAATTTTAATTACAGTACTTTTCGATTAATTGCTTAATCCTGAACTCTACCTAATAATACTACCATTATAACCATCAATAAGCAGCAAATTAGGAGTTTAAGCTTAAAGTCAGTTAATTGTTTATTAATAATAGATTAATTAATTAATTGTAGCTTAAATAAAGTGTGAGCAAAAATATGTGAAAATGTTTGGACTTCGGATAGATGTAAAGTTTTCATTCTCATGTAACATACTGCCTCCTGTGTGCTAGGGTATCATTTAACTGGACTTGAGGGGAATTATTTTGGATAACTGGTAAAGAGCCATCTTCAAGTTGAACTAAAGTTGACTGTAGAACCTCTTTGAATGTACTAGTCGTGGGATGAGAAACGCTGGGAGAAAAACTATTTTATAGTGATTGTATTTAAAGTGAAGCTATAAGTTAAATTGAGCTCATTGTCGCTACCACACACAACTGAGTCATTCTACAGTGCACTTAAAATAGAAAACAATACCACATTCACTACACGGTTGCATTTATTTAATCAAAAATACAGTACAAATTGTAAAATTGAGAAATGTTATATCACTATAAAATAACTTATAATTATAATTATATAATTATAATATAATTTATTAATTTATTCCAGTGATTTTAAAGATGAATCTTCAGCTTCATTACTCCAGTCTTCACAGTCTCATGATCCTTCAGAAATCACTCTAATATTCATTATTATTTTTTATTAATATTATTATTGATAATAGTAATAAAAGCAATAATGACTGAAGCAATAATTTCATTTGAAATTACATACAATAAGTAATAAATAAATCTTTAATAAATAAGTAAAAAAACATACATTTAATAAATGCCGCCTTGATAAACAGAATCATTTTATTTAAATTATTAAATAAAATTAGTAATAATAAAAAATAATAACCCCAAACTTTTGACCGGTAGTGTATGTCACATATATATTTAAATAGCAAAACCAATCAATGTTTTGATTGCTGAACTTATAATAATCACAAACTGTTAGATGTAAGGGTTTTTCCTTAAATTAGTTTTGAAGACAAATATTTTATACCTATAAAATACTTTCTATGCAAAATTAAATGTGATTAAAAAAAGCCACTATGTAAAGCATACAGATAAACTACTTTGTACTGCTAAAAAAGCATCCTAGAATGCTTTCATCCTAATATGAACAATGTTGGCATCTACTCAGAAGCTCAGATAAGAGTGTCTTTAAATTTAATGAACAGGTCAGTGCTTCACAACTCCTGGAGATACACCAACAGTACATTTTTTGGATGTCTTCCTTATCTGACCTATTTCAGGTCTTGGGCCAATCCCAAATGGCATGCTGACCCCTTGTTGTCCTCCTTTTGATCCCTGTAATTGTAATGTTGTGCTGCTTTGCAACCCTTTTAGTGCTACAAGGACCTGTTTTAGGTCCCCTCCTGTTTTAGGTCCCCCTTAATTTACATGCTGCTCCTTGGCTCCTTGTTCTGTTGCTTCAGCTTTAATAATAAATGTCCATGGTGTTTTAGTAGACAGCAATTTGTTTTTTTGAAATGATATTTCATAAGGTTCAAAAACAGCCTTGATAGTGTTACAAATCATAAATCTCACGGTTTGGATCACATAATGGTCACGGATCGGACCATTTTTTTGGATCAGGGGTGTGAAATGTAATTTGCTTTCTATTTAACAGTACTGCAAGACACTTTCGATTTTAACAAACAGATTTTAGAACCTGTAATTTTATTTAAAAAAAATACAGAAATAACCGGCTGAATAAAAAAATAAATAGTAAAATATTCAGTACTGTGCAAAATTCAGTTACTACTACTGTTGCTGATGATGCTAAATGTATAAATCTAACAATAATAATTTGTAAAACCCATATTTATTTTAAGCCTCATTTTCAATAAATAATTCAGTTATTCACTCATAAAACTTCATGTTTCATGGCTAGATTTGTCATTTTTGAAGAATTATTCAGTTGCATATTTGTGATGGCTGGTTGTCTCCAACCTAATGGTTAAATAATGTAATTGCTTTCTACAACTTTCATTTTTGAGCGTCATTAAATACATATAATGGTTAATTTAATCTTTAACATAAACATTAGGGGTTTTATCTTAACTATAAACTATGTTACTGTAACCATGGGATTGTGACACTGACAACAGAGGTGCAGATCCACATGCAGGTTTATTGGCGAGGTCAGGTAAGCAGTGGTCAATGCAGGGGCAAACAGATATATAAGGGCAATCCAGAGTCATGGTCAGAATAACAGGCAGATGGTCACAAGGCAGGCAGCAAACAGGATTAAACAAACAAAGGAGTCGGGGATCAAAAACACGGAAAAGAAAGACAAAGGAAACACGTTGTTATGTCACTATACAGTAAACAAGACTCAGCAACATAGTGTGTGTTTATTCTGCTTAAATAGTGTGTGTAATCAGTCCTTGACAAACCTGCGGTGGTCTGTGTGCAATCAGTCAGGATCAGGAACATGTGTGTGTGAGCGGAGTGCATGTATGGAGTTGTAGTCCATGAAATGGCGGATTAGTAGTTTGTTAACGCTAAGTGTTTTCCAGCAATCTATGGTGTTTTAAATTGCTGGGGATCGTGACAGTTACTAAGTTATGCCTACTAAGTTATGCCAGTATTTCTGTGTTATTTGACTGTAACTTTAAAATTAACATCATTTATAATGTTGAGATCCCAATCTTTTAATGATTAATTGTGCAGCTTAAACTGAATGCATTGATGCAGGCTAAACAAGTAGTGAAAGAAAACACCTTTATTGAAACCCACCACATCCCAAATAACCTACCACAACTTCCTCCGTCTTCATTATATTTTACAGGAAAGAATAAATGCTTTCATACATGGGATTTGAATGACGCGAGTGACAATTTTTCTGTGATAGTTACGAATTTAGGATTAATCTAGCAGTAAAAAATGTATTAATCAGCAGGCCACGTGTGTTTCCAACTATCGGTTGTGATTGGTACAAATCAGTGATCAACCCTGATCCGTTCCATCCCTAACCTTAATCTACCTCTGTTATATTTTCAGATTACAAAATATGTAATCTGTTTCTGATACTAAAAAGCTTATTTGCGCATTCATGACCTCAAGATTGGAACATTGCAATGGTCTGGTTTTCCAACATCTTCAATAAACAAGCCACAGTTTTCATTAATGCCTGGTTTATACTCGGCGCATTCACTGGTTCGATTAAGTGCTCGCAGCGAATGTGACGTCATCATGGTGTTTGCGGAGGTTCGATTATGGTGAGCGCAACATAATTTCGGCGGGCGAAGCCCACAAAATATTTTGAGACTCGAGTGAACAGTTTTCATCATTTTATATTGACTTGAATATGAATCTCTTGAAGAGATTTTGTCTAAAACAGGTACAGACATCTTTATGATTTGGCCATGCGTAATCATAGAGATAACCAGATGGACAATAATTATTAGCTAGAAATTGCAACAGCTGTGGGAAAGGAGGAAAGTTTTTGTTAAGAAGTTTAGAGAAACTTGAAGGATAAGTTTGTTAAAATCAAAAAGGCAAAAGTGGAGACCCAGGTGGTTTTAATAAACAATTACAGAGCATCTATTCATAGGTTTTACACTGATGTATTCTTTACAATTTTGTATTCAAAATTATTTAATAGTTACAAAACTAAAAAATGAAAAAACTAATTATTTCTTTCATAACCGGAAAGGAATATTTTAATATACCGGTTTACAATATACTGATGCCCTGTTTTTCTAGACTTTATTGGTGATAATGATCAGGAATGTCGGACCATTATTGCCTTTTTAGCATATAAGAAGAGGACAGACAGTAACTAACCAGTAACTAACCAGACAGTAATGTGTTAATTTGGAGTGAGCTGAATCAAAAAAAAAAAAACTGTCAGTATTATTTAGTAAATTTACTTTTTTTTTTTGTAGAGCAACCCACTTTCTGTTATCATTGATATTTTAATAAACTTTAATAGGTAGAACTGTCCGAGATATGAACAAAAATAAGTGATGCATCAAAGTTTGATTTTAAAAAAATCTTGAATGGTTATACAATTTTCTATAGCTTTTAAAATATCGTTTCGCTGTGTCGCGCCACACGGGGACATTTCATTCTAAAAAAAAAAACACTTAAGTTCAGCGCGGAGCAGAGTGAACACGCTCTCTCTCGCACTCTGATACAGAGTTCACCGCCTCATAGACAGGGATAAGGAGGAAGGGAGTTAAACAGTTTTTTAAACAGTTCAAGAGTTTTTATTCACACTCCTTTTTTGGATCATTTATTTTTCCATCTGTTGTTATGTATAGCTACACTGCAAAAAAGCTTTTCTTTCTTAGTCATTTCATCTCGTTTTCAGTCCAAACCAATGGTCCAAATATCTAAAAAATCTTAAATCAAGACTAGACAATGAAATGGGAAAATTAAGTGATGCTTAACTTTTGTTCGAGATTATATCTTATTAAGATTATTTTTCTTACCTCATTGACAAATAATTTTGCTTGTTTTAATATAATCACTTAATTTTGAGGATTTTTTTTCTATTGAAAACCAAACAAAACGACCTAGTTAGTTTTTATTATTATTATTATTATTATTATTGGTTGGAAATGATTGCTTCCTAATCATCGATTAATTAAAAATATAACAGACTGATAAATTCATTATTAAAATAATCGTTAGTTGCAGCCCTAATTAAAATAATTTATAAAAATATTGAAAATAATTAGTTAAAAAATCTTGAATGATATTATTGATATGACATACTTTTGGAAAAGATATGACATACTTTCGGAAACATCCTACTTCTATGTTAATTGGTCTGATTTTACGGTTGCTTTCTTTTGAGCGCCCCCTGTCGTTTTAAAAATATCACAGCGGCCAATGCGTAGTATAAAAGCCTCGTCCATTTTGTAAGGTGCGCATGCTGTCAGCGGAGGTCCCCGACGTGGCGCCAGGGGAAAGTATAACTCAGCCTTAATGGGTTCTGCTTAATAATATACAGCTAATAACCTAAAACTTTAAATTGTTTAGTTCCTGTGTACTCAACCTGTCTTTTATTACACTAAGAGGGCATAGGGTACCAACAAATAAGCTTAAGGATAACTTGTTTTTGAGAAAAAGTTGCCTACCTAATATCCTGAGTCTGTTCACGGCTCCATGCAGCGTGAAGAAGGCCCATAGAACCTGAGAGGAGTCGACACACAGGAGACGACCACGCGCCACTCCGTTGACCCCATGATGTACCTCCCCGTTGGCCAGAAAGGTGAAACTGAGCACATCACCTGCTGTGGGCACAGGAAAACCTCTGTAGACCACCCAGTACTCCTTACGGTCCAGAAGCAGCTCTGGGTCTGCTGGCAACTCCCCAGCACTAAGAGTACCAGGATCACAAGAGGTCATGCCAAATAGTAAAGCCCCAAAGTACGGCAAGCCCAGATGGCCCACCTCCAAGTACAGAGTCTCACCCACCCGGACAGGTCTGTCACTGAACATCAGAGTCCTGCTGCTGTCTAGAAAGTGGGTACAAGCAACTGTGCGATCATTCGAGAGAACCACATCAGGGCCTCGGACAGGGTGAAAATGTAGGTCGACGTCGAGAGGCAAGGAAAGGCTGCGGGCAGGCCTCTGGACAGATGAGGAGGGGGTAGAGGAGGTGGAGCAGCAAGGTATCAACTGGTTGTAGTTGCTAAGTTGTAGTGTGGCAAATTTTGCAGCGGCAGCCTGGTTGGTCTCTAGCTGGTTGTTGCTGTAGTTGGCAGAGTCGTGGTTGCTCTGGGGCAGATAGGCACTGAGTCGGGCGGTACTCAGACAGCTCGCACCAACGCTCTCAGCAAATGTGCTCTCTAAAAGAGGAAAGAGAGAGCAGTGAGACGATACAAATGATAACAAGTGAAAACACTTTCAATCCTTCTGCTCTAATAATGACAGTATGCCTTTTTACTGTCTTGATTTTGGTCTAGAGGCAGTTCTGTCTGTAAAATTGCAATGTGTCTGTTTGTTGCTCTCCCTAGTAATGAGCTTGACAGAAAGTGCATTTACCCTCCACTTTTTGAGCATGCTGTGATGAAGGAATGATGAATAAATAGCTCCCTACGAGGAAAAAAATTACTGCCTTTACCTTTTTTAGAACATATAATCTGCTGTGCAAAGCTAGTGCTAAATAACGGTAATAATTATTTTTTACTGTCCACTCTAAAGGCATAACAACAGATGTTTAGGATAACATTAGAAAAAGATGACACTGGTGTCTCGTATCTTGGTCTGAAATTTGGCACAGGTCCGCATGATGTCTTTTAAGAATCACATTGCACTCTTTTTACTCTGTGCTTTCTTGCCTGACCTTCACTGTATAGGACCAAAGTGACTATAAAAACACAATGAACATTCACATGTACTATGTTCCAAGATTTATAAAAACATTCTGTGTCTTTATTTAAAGAACTGACAGTGGTTGTAAAATCTAAGTTGATAGAAACTCTTCCCTCTGCTGCAGCAGTCATTTATGTTTAGTTAAGAGGATCAACAATAGTAAAACTCTTTCCAAGATCTTCCAGTTCATTTGGGTCACAAGTGAGAGGTTGAAACTACAAATACAGGCCAATTCATGGTTAAGTAGAGAGGTCTAGGAAAAGGGGTTTGAGTGATTAATTAATATAACCTGATGAAACATAAATACTTAATCTTTAAATCGTACACAGTTTACCCCATTTTCAAGATTTAAGATAAGTCTTTTGTGTCTCCAGAATGTGTTTGTAAAGTTTCAGCTCAAAATATCCATCAGATTATTTATTATACCTTTCAGAATATTGGAATTTTCAGCTCTGGACACATTGTAGCTGTTTTTGTTGCTTTTTTGCCTTTAATGCAAATGAGCTAGTTCTCCCTGCCCACTTTTCCCATGTGCATGTCAGAGTGTGTCGGTTTCTCGATTTCAAGAACGCAAAAGACCGGTCTTGCCAGGTCACCATGGAAGAACGAACAAGGGAGGCGTACCCGTGAGAACAGAACACGTCCGTGTTAACGTTGTGCTGTTATAATTCAATTACCTTTTTATACGATTTGGTGCAATTTGATTTTTACTCATTATTAAAAAACAACGACTGAATATTTTCAATGAGAAGCTCTAATGTAGCTGTGGCGGGATGAAATTTAGTGTGGCGTCCCGCCATGGAAGAATGGATGTAGCGGAAACCATGGTTATGGTAATGATACTACAGCTATATATTTCACCAAAAGCAGGGGAAATGTCTCTATAAGAGAGTTTATTAGAGACATAGAAAAGTGGATGACTGGTACTTTTACTTCTTTTAAATTCAGACAAGACATATATATTACTCACTAGACCAAAATCCTGTACATGAAAGCTTCTGGAATATAATTTGGATCAGCATTGAAGAACTGCAGCAGCATTTAATAAACCAAAATGTAGATTTTTGAAGAGGTTAACTGTGACAAGATTTATGGCCAGTTTATGGTGACAGAAAGCAGACAATTATGTAACACGTTAGTCTGAAAAGCTGAGGAACAGAAGGTCTGGAGTCCATAGCAGCTTTCTTTGGCCAAGGACCACCCAAAGTTATTCTGACTGACATGTAAAGCACTAGTCACAATAAGTTTTGTTCTGTGTCAACTTTAGGGCTGTTCCAAAATGTAACATCATTGTCCTTACAATAACATACTCTTTGTACTCTAGAACAAAACTCTTTGATGTAGTTTAAATGGTCTATGGCAAAAAATACATATTAATTTAAAAGTAATGTTTTTAGATGATCACGATAAGTGCCACTGCCAAATGTCACAACTTTAAACATGATGGCTTTCTTTCTCCATATAAAATGGGCTTACCAATTTATTTGTTTACATTTTTTTTAAAAGGATAAGATTAAAAGATAATCAGGCCTGACTTTCAGTAGGTTCCTGCTCTGCAGAACACAAAAAACAGACAGATATCTCATCAATCAACACAGTACAATCAATCACCAAACATGTAAAATAGAGAAAAGCAGGCTACTATCTTAGTGGCTGCAGCGATAGTTGACCTTCAGATGAGAGCATGTGATTTTTAAAAAAGTGTTGGTATTGTTTTTAGATGTTGTGGGATCTCATTCCAGGCTTCTGTGAATAGAATACATAAAAGAAAGATCTTTGTCCTTAACAGTTTTTAAAAGCCGGTAATGGCACACATCCATTTGTTACAGATCTGGTGGAATGATCAGTCCTTGTGATAAGTTTTGGTACCAAAGCACAAAGGGCTGCTGAGGTAGCACTATTTAAAATTTTAAAGTACAGTTTAATCCCTGTGTTCATAATGTAGTTTTAAAAGCATTAGAAAGTGATGGATCAAAACAGTGATGTGTCCATCCAGAAAGTCTGTTTTGTATCTTATAGGCCCTATTGTACAGTCTAGCTATTGGCTCCAAGATATCATTTGTTGCGAGAGACCAAACAGGCAAACAGACAAGATTATGGCATGAAGATAAATTTCAGAAACAGAAAAAGACAAAATTGTCCTAATTTTCCCATAAACAAATTGTTTCAGCTTTTTATAAATATTTTGAACATATGGAGGCAAACCATTGTGACACACACACACATCTCCCGGAGGGCATGTAGAATTCCACCATGAACTATGAAACTGATTTTGTGTCATACGTGGTTTAGATTTACCAAACAGTCAAATCATTAAGGAGTTTATTATCTTAAATTTATTAAGGATTTAAAATTGATTGTGGTTTTAATAATTAGGTTACAGACTAAAGACCGTTTAAAGATTGGGTCACACTTTATTTTGATGGTCCGTTTGTTAAATTTAAGTTACATTGCATCTACATGCCAACTAATTTTTATTAGATTGACTGTTAGGTTAGGGTTAAGGTTAATGTAAGCTGACATGTACTTGCAAAGTTTCTTATAGTCAGTTAAATGTCTGTTGAAGGAGCATTATCAGCCGATATTAAGAAGCCTGTTTCAAAAAAAAGTGGACTGTTGCATTAAAAATCAGTGTATATGGCAAAAAAATAAAATAAAAAATTTAAAAATAAAAATGTTCATATGCCAAGGAAAGAACGATGTCAACTGTCAACCAAATAAAAAAAAAACATTTAAACAATTCTGTGTGCAAGAAATAGTGAAGAAAATGGGATTCAATAGTTTAGTGTTATAGTGATTTATAATGCCATGCTCAGTGTGACAGGGACTTCACTTGAAACATTTGTTTTGATGGTGTAAAAACGTCAGATTCTATGTTTACTAATTTCCTATGACAGCTCAATAAATCTTTCTGCCTATAAATACATCTTTGCGAGCCAACAAAGCAACTGTCAACCCAGGCAAAACATTGCTACTCTGTAGGTCTGGGTACGGGTTCAGCTGTTCAGGGAGGCTGGGACCCTTACTCCAAAACCACACAGCGGCTCTGACCAAACATGGTCAATGATCTCGCCAGACACAATGTAAACAAAGGAGCCAGAAAGAAGAGACTAGGACAGAAAAGGAAGGGAGTTCAGTTCACGGACTCCCATTCTTAGATTTAGGATGTTCAATGTCCGAAAAGTATTTACACACACACAGACACAGATGTCCAGTACACTCAACTTTTGATGTGTGGTGAATATTTAGGCCTCGTTTGACTGGCGCTTTTTAGAGCCATCAGTCTTACTGAGAAAATGAATCACGCCACCTCACCCGAGATTTTTCTTTGGCATTCAGCCATTCTGTGTGCCTCTGGGAAGTGACTCTAACAAAACCAGAGGGTCCATTATCTAATCAAGTAAAATAAGCTCTTATGGCAGCTATTCAAACTATCTTCTGCTAGTTCCTCCTTTTAAAGCCAAGTAGACTATAGCTATGTTTTTATCTACCTATTTTTATGCACATTTTGGAATATCACACAACTGTGTAGGATAAAATTTTTATGCGCTAAGAAAAAAATGTGCATAAACTACAATGGAAGCACATTTACTGAATAACATACATCATGTGCATCAATAAAGTGAAATCATGTGATTTTGTTTCAACAGGTCATGTGGTAACAAAAATGGATGCGATGGGAGTGTCAACCTCATTGCAAAACATCTGAAATGTTTTTTTTGTCATTTTAAAATTGCTTTGTCAAAGTCCGTCATTAAAGTGGTTGGGTCTTATTACCTTCCAGAACTCTATTAAATACAGAAGTTCTAAGAGGCCATGCATTAAAATACTTTTTCTCTGTTGTTTTGTCTTGATAATGGCTTAATTATCTTGTGATTTCGACATAACAAAAAGTTGTTTTCTCATGATCACAATTTATTTTCTGCTTTTATTTATGTATTAATTGGTATTATTATATCTGGCCAATGTATAAGGAGACCTTTTTCTGCCTGGATGCCCTACACTTGCCCAGGTTAAGTGTGCAATGATTACACAGGCTTGTATGGAAGTGTTGAGGCATTTTTATAGAAATCAATTTAGTTCAGCTAAACATGTTATTCTACAGATATGAGGAAGGCACCGTGCATCTGTTCAAAGCAGCTCTGAGTTGCAGGATTGACGAGAATAATACAAAATGATGGATTCAAAAGTGCAAAAGAAGGATTTTTTTTTATTTCTTCGTTTAAAATAACTGAGTTGGTATGTAGGGATGTCAATTTCCACAAAATCCTGTGATCTATCTTCATTTAAACTAACGATCAATTATAGATTAATAATAATTACTAATCTCCTCTTAGGAGGCCTCTTAGGACTTCCGTAATTAAATGGCTGCGATTCCAAAGAGCAGTCTCATCCCACTGCGCACTAATTGCATTTCGCAGACTTCTTCTGAGGTGCTAATATTTATTTATTTTAGAAAAAGTCCCATTAAGGCCCCAAAAAGGCCCATATTAAATTTTCCTACTGCAGCAAAATCCATTTTTCTCTTAGATATTTGGTGCCAGTTTAACATGAAGTGGTTATTTTGTTCTCTTTGACTCAATGAATGGAAACTTATAGATGGTGCTTTATTCTTAAACATTTTATTCAATATTTCAGTTTTGTGTCTGAGTTTAACTCGCATCTTTAAATGAAAACATAGCTAAAGAAATCCATTTTTTCACAGTTATGATTGTATATGCTTGTAATAGTACGGCAACTCTCATCCTGTATAGAACTGTGAAATTTTTGCAACATTCATAGTCTGTGCTTATAATCTGTGTCTCAAACAAGACAACTTTACTAAGCACAATAGTATATTTCTTTTTATTCAACAGTTCTGTCTGGTTCTTGATTCTGATTGGATAATAGGTGTGAGATATTCTGCAATAACAGCACACATACAGCCTCCTCACCCTTTTCTATTACTCCGCCCACATAGATTGACAGCAGATTGATAAACTCACTACAGTTTGACAAATATTGCAGTTGTTGGACAACATAATGTACTTTTGAGGCTTTTTAGGCAAGAATGTAGTTGTTTAGATTGCAACTATGCAGTTTTTTTATTAGGATAGTGCCCATTTTAAATATTTACAATTTCGGAGATACAGCATGTCAACGTTCATCAGCCTGTCACACTGAGCAGAGCAAAGACGGTTGATGTTCTGCCACAAGATGGCGACTGAGACCCCATAATAAGCCCTTAGAGAAGAAAAGATCAGTGTATTTCAAACTACAGCTGATCACATCATTATAAAACAGGTAAGTGTCTTTCTTACTTGATCTCTCTCTTTTGTATGTTGTAGTGCTGTATTTTTATACCATAGTCTGGTAGTGTTTCTTGGGTTGATTATTGTGATATCCCGATTGCAACAAAGAAATACTGGGAAATGTCTCTAGAATGGTGGCATTGCATGCTGTTCAGCCTTATAATCTTAAAATGTGAGCAAAATCTCCTGTTTTGTTATTTCTTTAGACATTATGCTAGAGAAACATTCAAATACTAGCTCTAAAATGACATTTGTGAAGTAGCCATGGTTTCTGCTGTTCTGTCAACTGCTGCAGATGTGAATAAAAGGTGGAAGAAAGTAGTTCCTCATAGAAAAGGATTTAGAGACTCTGTTTGGTTATCTTTTTTTATATACACAATTATTCCATTGAAGTGTTGTATAAACTCCATATCACAGAAGTAGCAGTGCTATGAGGCTGTGTATAGTTACTGGTGGGACAATACGGCACTTGGCCTGCAGTCTTGAGCCAACACACCCCACCCACCAGTGCAGATACACAGCCATATCACACTGCTACTCGTTTGATATTGCTCATTTCCTTTTTGCATGTTTCATTGCTGCAGTCAAGTGTTTATTAAGGCTTTCAAGTTTTAAGGTTTGCAACCTACATGGCCGCCTATAATCATCAGGGAACAAATCTACATTTAGCTTTATTTGAAGTAAAGCTTTAAGTGTGACAGCCAGAGTGACATATCCCAGATGACCCTTCTCTGACCTACTTAGAGCTGAAAAAGTTTATGAAAACCACTGGCATATGGCAAATCTGTAAGCCTCTCCACTGAACATGAGCAATGATGTCATGTATGAGCATTTTTAAATAGAGCTAATGAAAACAATACTATTTTAAACCTCTTTTTTCATCTTTCTACAATTTTTGTTAATGTAAAAGGTTAAGTCTGGTGGTATAGAGTTACTGAACAATTAACGTTTAACTTTCAACCACTTGATGGTGTATAGGTGAAGGACGAGATTCATTTTGATAACCTGTTCACAAATAACATTTTATATACAGAAAAAAAAACATTAAATAAGCAAAACATCTGTTTTATTGTTTGAAACATTTGCAAAAATAAAATGTCAAAATTTTGGTGAGATATTTTTGCCCTTCAGAGCAACTTACAGTTAAAGTGAAAAGGATTAGCCCTTCGGTAAAATTTTAATTAATCTTCACATATTACCCAAGTGATGTTTAACAGAGCAAGGAAGTCTTTCACTGTGTTAACTATTATATTTTTCGGCTGAAAAAAAAAAGTTTTAGTTCTTTAGTTTGGCTGGAATAAAAGAAAAAAATGTATCAATATTGCATTGCACTTTAAGCACAATAGGTAGTAGAATATTATTAACTTTTAAGATCAAAAGATGTTTGTTATTAAAAACGTGATTTTAAAAGTGGCGAAAAAAAACTTTCCATTAAACAGCATTTGGGAAATATCTAAAATAGAAAGTTTCACACAATGGCTAATAAATTTGACATATTTATGAAAATATAATTAACAAAATATGATTCTGACCAGTACTTAATAAAATATATGACAGAGTATCTGAAAGTTTAAAACTATAAAGATACAGTTGAAGTCAGAATTATCAGCCCCCTAAATTGAAGTAGAAAAAGGTTTTTAATGACATTTCTAAACCTAATAGTTTTAATAACTCATCTCTAATAACTGATTTGTTTTATCTTTGCCATTATGACAGTAAATAATATTTGACTAGATATTTTTCAAAACAGTTCTATACAGCTTAAAGGGACATTTAAAGGCTTAACTAGGTTAATAAGTTAGGAAAATTAGGCAAGTTATGGTATAACAATAGTTTGTTCTGTAGACAATCGAAAAAATATATAGCTTTAAGGGGCTCATAATTTCGTCCTTAAAAATGTGTTAAATAAAATTAAAAACTGCTTTTATTATAGCCCAAATAAAACCAATAAGACTTTCTCAAGAATAAAAAATATTATCAGACATACTATAAAAATTTTCTTGCTTTGCTAAACATCATTTGGGAAATATTTAAAAAAGAAAAAAAAATTCAAAGGGGGCTAATAATTTTGACTTCAACTGTATATAATTATCCAGTATTTTGGAGCAGAACTGAAGATTGTTCCTATATGTTAATACATTTTGGTGGGTATAAATAAATAAGATAAAGTTTATCCAAAATGACAATTAAATTCAATAGTCTACTCACTTTAAGCTGTCCCAGAATAATATTGGCATGTCCAATATTATTTGTAACTGTAAGAAATTTTAAAAAGTCAGGTCTGGAATGACATGACGATGATTAAACAGAATTTTCTTTCTTGGGTGCAGTATCTTTTCAATAATTTTGCAACCTTCTTTGCTTATGTTGCTCATGGTAATATTAATGCACATCAGTGTTTTAATATTACACTTTACAATTATTGTGTATTATTCATTTAAACCGGAATGCAAATCCAACTGAGAGAACTAATACAGCAAAGCTGTAAAGCAATGATTCTTCCACCAGCTGATGCTTTATTCAACATCATTAATTAAAGAACTTCTGAGTTAATTAGACTGTAGTGTATACTTACCCAGTAATGTCACTTCCTGTGTAATTCCGTAGATGTCTATGATGGCCCAGACAGGGCAGCCAACACTTAGGCCACAGTGGAAGAGAATTGGCTCTCCGTCATTAATACTGTAGAAGACCCGGCCATGTCGATCTGCCCAGAAGGCCAAAACATTGTCCCGCATGGCCAGCCTCTCGGGCAGAGCCTTGGCCCAGTATCCTGGCCTCGTCACCAGGTCAGGGCAAGCATATTTGGGTATGTCAGTTAAGGAAAGCTCACCGGGGTCTAAGGTGGTGAAACCAAACCGGAGAGCCCCACTCCAGCCTGTGTGGACTCCTGAGAGGCGCAATCGCACCTTCTCATACAGGCGCACAGGACGCTGGCTGAAAGTGATGCCATTGCAGAAGCTGTTCTTGCGGGTGGCCCGCCGCAGATGTGCATCCAGCCGAATGTTCTTGCCCTTGGCGTGAGGGTGAAAGCGAGGAGACTCGATGCTGACAGGAGGGGCAGATGTGCGGCGCTCCGCTCCACTGGTGGACACCGTGCAGTACTGCCGACTGGCCACTGAGCGATGCTGTAGACTGGCATCTGTTTCAGTAAACACAACAGAGATAATTAGAAATATGTACACTGCCATAGGAAACTCTTATTAGTGTAATGCACACAAACGGCAAATGAAACCCGGGATCACAAAACATAAAAAAAAAAAAAAAAAAAAGAGTTACATTTAATTAAATTCATGTTTATTTCTATAGCGTTTTTACAATGTATATTGTGTCAAAGCAGCATAACATAGAAGTTCTAGTCAAATGAAATTTAAACTGTCAGTCAAGTTTTCAGGTTTTAAGTTCAGTTTAGTTCAGTTCAGTGTGGTTAAATTTCACTGCTGGAAGAACAAACACAAGCTATTTAAAACAAAAAGATGATAAGACAATCTTTGGTCGAGATACAATTATTTGAATATCTGGAATCTGACAGTTTAAAAAATTCAAAATACTTAGAATATCTCCTGTAAAGACGTCTAAATGAAGTTTTGATCAGATATTGAGTTTTGATAAATTTACAGTAAGACATTTACAATATCTCTTAATGGAATGTGATGTTTTTTTATTTTCAAATTATTTTTGGCATAAAAAATATAGACACTACAGGTCAAAAGATTGGGGTCAGTGCAATTTTTTAATGTTTTAAATAAAGCTTCTTCTGCTCACCAAGGCTGCATTTATTTAGTTAAAAATACAGTACAAATTGTGAAATTGTGAATTGTTATTGCACTATAAAATAACTGTTCAAAAGTAGTTTAATTTAATAAATTACTCCAGTATACTGTAAACATGAAATTTAAGCACATATACACACAATTGTGCAACTTAAAACATTTGATCTATTGTTGTATTTAATTTATTACTGGCTTTATTTTATTAAAATTCAATCATCTCATTTAAGGATTTTTATAATTTTAAAAAGTTATTTTTTTATCTCCTAGTATAAAGTACTCTTAATAAATGCAGTGGGATTGAAGACTACAGTGAAAATATGAGCTTTTATCTCTAACTAAGGGATAGTTCACAAAAAAAAAAAATTTACACACCATTTACAATGCCTCATGGGTTTCAACACTTTTACGAGTTTCCTTTTTCTGTTAAAAATAAAATATATTTAGAAAAATATTAGAAACCTGTAACCATTGACTTCCATAGTAGGAAAAACAAATACTATAGAAGTCAATGCTAACAGGTTTCTGACATTTTTCAAAATATCTTCTTTTGTGTTAAGCAGAAGGTTGAAACTTAAAAAGGTTTGTCAAAATCAGTTGGGTAAATAATTACAGACTCTTCAGTTTTAAATTAACGATCACTTTAAATCTCGAGATTGACAAAGTTCAATGAAAGATCATTCTGAAACGTTCAATTTTTTTATGATAAATCACTGACTAATCATTTTAAATGAACTGACAATGTAACAAATAATAACATTTTACAAGCAACTGGAAAGTTTTGGATCTTATTGTCTAGCCCTAAAATGTAGAAAGCATAAGTGCGTTGGTATTTAGTTCAGACATTTCTCAAGGGCACTTAAAAGCCACTATTCCAGGAAACAATGGCATATAATCAGCAGCACTAAAGAGTATAATGATGACAGCGTTGACAGAGATCCCATAATTCACAGCACATGCCGCAATATCAAAGTAGAGCAAATCAGCAGCAGTAAATCTTCCGTACCCTAATTTCTCACTTGCAAGAACAAACTGGATGCATCTTAAATAGCACCTTACAAGAGCAAACATACTTGAGCCATTTCTGTCAAAGCCATTCTAGCATTAGGTGAATCTGACAGGAAAGGAGTGTCTGGGTTATGATTTACTGCAAAATTATGAGAATACACACAATGAACAATGAAGCCATAAACATTTTTGTGCAATATGTGACAGTACTTTAATGACCGTTGTGAGTGTTTCCTCTGCAACAGAGTGCACACTACAAGTGCTTATGAACTGATATTAAGCAGCACTAAATTGATAAATACACAAAGACAACTTTTACACTTAATGTTACTCTTACCCTGGTCAAGCGTTAAAAGGAGGTTTATATGCTGTAAGTTGTTAATTTTATTCTAATTCTACTTGAGAAATTGACGTAGTATGACTATCAAAGGTTATGTAAAATGTTTGAAAGTAACATCTCGACCATCTTCCCACGTCTATACTGACAATGATTTATAAAAGTGTTATCAGCAAAAGAAAAAATCCCAGCTGTTTTTTATATAAATTAATCTATTAATGCTTTTAAAGCAGCAGACGCCATCACCCCATGATCCTGCGCTTTACTGCTTGTTTGTTTTTTTTATTGTGGGCATTCTGAGTAGTTCTGTTGCACTATTCTGATTGGGCAGAATAAAAGTGTGCTCACTCAATTGGCTAGTAAGACTGTCTGTCACACACAGACGGCAGTCGTGCATTTGCTCTGGGTGGGGAAAATGAATTTGACTAATTGCACAGCTCTACAACCTGGAAGTTTTTGGACTGTTTTTATAATATTCATTCTTAATTTAAAAATAATAGATAAATTATTACATTTAACAACGTTTTTTTTTTTTTTTTGTGGCACAGCTATGTATTATCTTTGATTCATTGTACTAAGCTTTTAGCTCTGCCTACAAAAGGTTTATGTACTGATCAGTAAAGCTTGATATCTAACTGCATTTAAATGGGACCGATTATGCTCCTTTTTACAAGATGTAAAATAAATCTCTGGAGGCCTTAGAGTGTGTATGTGCAATTTCAGCTCAAAATACTCAACAATGAAGTACAAAGGTTTGTATGAAGTACAAAAGGAGAATGTCAATCAAAGTGTTTCTGCAGACTGTTCATTGTCTTAGTGAAAAATAAGTATTAAAAAAAGTTGCTGTACAACAGATTTAGATGAAACATATAAGCAAATATAACTACTATCCAATTATTCATGACTATGCCTGTGATATTAATCAATGTTGACCAATTAACTTATAGCACAACACAGGGACATTTTGGTTATGTTATATATATCATCCATACATAAAAGCCAACGGCAGCAACATTTTAGCAGATTGCACAGCATCTTTCATCTCTTCCGATCTCTATTGGAAATATCAGTGTCAAAAGTTAATAAAACACTTTAGTGCTTGTTATAAATTACTATGGTAGATTTTTAATAGAGAACCAAACAACTTTAACGGATCCGCCGTGACACTTTAAATGCTAACATTGCTTGTGAAACGTGTACTTTTTTTCTAGAGTTTGCTACCTAGCACTTTTTTGTTATTTATGTATTTGTTTAAAATATACTTTTTGATACTCTGATTCCAATGGCTAATTATTAAAATTGTTAAAATTACTGTAATAGTTTTAAATATACTTAAGAATAAAACATTTTCTTTGAAAGACTGTATTATATTCAGGGTCTTTGCACCTTTTTAAACAGCTTTCAAAATGTTTCCAGGTATTTTTTCAAATCTTGCATCCAAATATGGGAAAGTACATACTGTACCTACATATACATATTTATTCACGTTATTTCACATGCTATTTGTTATATTCTATAGAATAGTATTCTAAGAAACAATTTTGATGGCATGTTTACCCAAAGCCCAACACTGAACTTCTGTCATTTACTCTTATAAAATCTCAAATAACAAATTATTTGCATCTGAAATGTATGTTACTTTAATTTTTTTAAAAGGCAGATCACGCTATAGGCACTTTCAAGAACTTTATCCAAAATCTAAGCACTTTTCAAAGCTTGTAGATTAAAAGTCAAGCATTTTTGACAATTTAAAAAGACAGTAATATCCTTAAACCACAATATACTTTGATGCAATAGATATTACAACACAAACATCGTGACAGGCCAATTCATGACTGCCTTCCACTTTATTTACTGTAGCGATAAATTACATTACAGTTTGTGGATTGTCCGGGTTGTCTCTTTTCAACAGATCTAAGGCAGAATTTATAAAATACAACAAATTGTGATTAAAAGAGCTCTCCACTGATTTTTGTATGGGTTTTGGAGTGATGAGAGCCATAAATGCCGCTTGTGAAGCAGAGCGTTTTTTTTTTTTTTGTCATGGCCTCCAAATATAGGCCTTCACTATATCCAATCGGAGCTGCCGCTAATGACAATCCCACTGTCCAGCCAATCCCTTGACTTTTCACTCTAACATACACACACAAGAGTCTATAGCTCTGTCTGTGCCATAAGTGCTCAGATAAAAACAGTTTATCACACACCTCATGATTTAAAGCGGCACAGGGAGAGAAAGGAACAAATCTAAAGACTAAAATAAAGAGTGTTCAAAAAAAAAAAAAAAAAACGATTTAAGGACATTACTATCTCACAGTGCTCAATCAGGTCTTTACCCAATTAAAATCCTGTTTTGATAAATGTATGAAGATAAATATTTAGTTATGTTAACTGTGCACTCAGTTTTACCCTAAAACAAATAAATGTGAATCCAGATTTTATTATTTGGTACTTGTATGTTTTCAAGAGAGTTCAGAAATAGAAAGAGGTGCTAAAACTGATTGCAACATCAACATCAAAGTTGATTGTTAAAAAGATAGTTCACTCAAACATGAAAATTCTGTCATCTTTTACATAGCATCAACCTATTTGACTTTTTCTCCTGAAAACACACACGTTCAAAACTTGACCATTGACTTACATAGAGTTTGTTTTTGTCAATGGTTACATGTTTCTAATTTTCTTCAGAATATCTTATTTTGTGTTCAGCAGAAGAAGGACGCTCATAAAATGTTTGAAATCACTTGACTGTTGATTTGTCCATTTTTTGGGTACACTATCTCAAACTATTGTAAGTTAAGGCTGTGTAATTTGACACAAACGTATGGATGAATAAAATAGTGCATAACACTTTAGTTTAAGTAGCGACTCTCACTATTAACTAGTGGTTTATTATCTGCCTATTATTAAACTATTAGTTGTTTATTAGTACTTAAAAAGTGCATCCATAATCCTACCCAGCTCCTTAATCCAACTACTACCATAAAAATGATTAATAATTAACAAATTAGGAGGTTATTGAGCTTA